CACTTAAACACAAGCTATAATTCACAACGATTCACGCACTTTACTTACGATCACTACCGCTCACTTGACTCAATTATCTGTCTCTATCTGCTATCCAATTCCGATTAATTGTCTCTCTTTATCTGGCGCGTTTATATACAGGAATAGAGGGCGTCTAGCAAATACTGGATTATTCGTGATGTTCCCCGATCCTTCTAGAAACTCATCACGTGTTACCAGCGTCACGTGACTTCCGCTGTCGTAACATATATTTTAGGTGTAGATAGAAGCATACTTAATGAGAGTTTAAAGAGTACTGATTTTGTTTACAGGGTTCCACGTGACTCCGAAGATCCATCTGATCTGTCCTGAGAGCTGCCTTCTAATAGTTGTGGGGGTCATAATCGGACTTCTCTTGTTTTACACTGGCTTTCATAGCGTAGAGCATCTTACCCCGGATGTTTTCTTCCTCTACATGCTACCGCCCATAATTCTGGACGCCGGGTATTTCATGCCTAATCGACTGTTTTTTGACAACATGAGTTCTATTTTGATCTACGCTGTACTCGGTACTGTTTGGAACGCTCTGACCATCGGCTTTTCTCTATGGGGTGTGGGTTTGACTGGTCTTTACGGTGTGGAGCTCCCCCTGTTGGATACTTTGCTGTTCAGTTCTATAGTTTCGGCTGTAGATCCCGTGGCGGTCTTAGCTGTCTTCGAGGAGATCCAAGTGAACGACGTGCTTTATATCCTGGTGTTCGGAGAATCTTTGCTGAACGACGCCGTAACAGTGGTGAGTAAGACGTCCCTGTAAATAATCAAATATTCTTTTACTAAAAAAATCACTTTAAAATCCCAATTATTTAAATGAAAATTTGAATTTGTATTAAAGAAACATTTTGAATGATAAAAAAATTTGGACTTGTTATTTCAGTATATGGTTACTTAAAAAACAAAAAATAACTTCGTTCAAATAATTTATTTTATTATCATTTTGGAACATTGTTTTATGTTTTTCCTTAATCAGATTTTTATTTCCCTAGTTTCAATCAACGATTCGTCAATTTTTTTTTCTTTAGCTTTGATAAATCGCCATTATTATATATATTTTGTTTCTATCTAACGTAACGCTGTTTCTTCGTGTATTATATTTACATCCAGAATGTTCTGAAGTAGTTTATCGTTAACCGACAGACTTCTTTGTGGCTGAGAGTTTGTTCGAAATGTTGCCAAGAAAATATAACAAAATGTTTATTTTCAAAAGTCTAATTTTTCTATTTTAACCTGTTTTCCACGTACATATTTTGTACCTACTGGCAAGGAGACATGTATATAGCTACAGTTTTTTTGTAGCAGTGCTTTCAACAGGCCAATTCTTCAATGTGGATGGAGAAATGTCAAACTAGAACTGAAAAAGAGGCTGCCAAGGTGTTATGGTCAGTCCTACTGTATAGGTGACTTCTGTATGGTCAAACAGAACGGGGCCCGGCATGGCCAGGTGGATAAGGCGCTCGACTCGCAATCTGAGGGTCACGGGTTCGAATCCCCATCACACCAAACATGCTCCTGATTGTTTTGTTTTTGAATTTCGCGCAAAGCTACACGAGGGCTATCTGCGCTAGCCGTCCCTAATTTAGCAGTGTAAGACTAGAGGGAAGGCAGCTAGTCATCACCACCCACCGCCAACTCTTGGGCTACTCTTTTACCAACGAATAGTGGGATTGACCGTCAAATTATAACGCCCCCACGGCTGAAAGGGCAACGACGGTTGGAAGCGTATAAAATGTGATGTTATAGGCGAATGATAAAACTAGACATACGTAGGATGCGCTACTTTGGACGCATAATTAGATCCGAGGGGAGGTTGGCAGAGATCCTGATGGGTAAAATATAAGGGAGACGAGTGAGAAGCAGGCAGACTCAGTTGGCTTAATGACAATAGAAAATAGATTGGAAAAAACAAACTTAAATTAGGAAAGTTGATACAGGCAGAAAGGAACAGAGAACCATGGTCACCAACCCTCAGAACCGGGAGGACACTTTGACTGATTGATTTCAACGGTCCATTCCAACCATGTAACCAACCCTCAGAACCGGGAGGACACTTTGACTGATTGATTTCAACGGTCCATTCCAACCATGTAAAACCAACCCTCAGAACCGGGAGGACACTTTGATTGATTTCAACGGTGCATTCCAACCATGTAAAACTTTGTTTCTGAGAAGAGCAGCATATCATATATATTATATATTATGTTTATTTCCATATAATATCGTTTATTGATAAACTTCGCTGTTTCTAGAGTATATACAATCTAATATTTCTAGAGTATATATAATCTAATATTTCTTGAACTGATTTTTAACTTTGTTTACTCGGTTATTCAGGTGCTGTATCACATGTTTGAAGGATACGCTGAAATGGGACAAGAAAACATGATTCCTATCGACTACGTCGCTGGTGTTGCTTCCTTCTTCGTAGCAGCACTAGGTGGCGCTCTCATCGGAATCCTTTGGGGTGTGTTGGCGGCTTTCATTTCTCGATTTTCTCACCACGTACGGATTATCGAGCCCCTTTTTGTGTTCGTCTTAGCTTACCTGGCCTATCTGAATGCTGAACTGTTTCATCTGTCTGGAATTGTGGCGTGAGTTTAATATGTTATGCATTGTATTCCGCTATCAATTATAAGTCATACGTTTACTCTGAAGACTTCTGACACATTTTTACATTCTTATTAAATAATATCAACCATTATTAGGTATCTGTATATAGATATCGTGATATACCATTTAACATCTGTTTTTATTTGTTCCCAGACTCGTTTTCTGCGGTATTTCCATGAAGAATTACGTGGAAGAAAACATTTCCTACAAGTCCCACGTGACAGTTAAATACACAATGAAGATGTTGGCTAGTTCCTCGGAAACCATCATCTTCTTGTTTTTGGGTGTTTCTACTGTAAACGACAATCATGAATGGAACACCTGGTTTGTCGTTATGACCATTTTCTTCTGCACAATTTACAGATCTATTGGTAAGCAGCACTTACATTCATTAAAACTTGTAAGGTTCTTAAAAGTCTGAGCCTTATCGGGTTCTTTCAGATGTATAAGACTTTTAGAAGTTTATTTAGTAGCGGAAGTGACGTTTATTCTTCCACAGAGACTTAATTTGTAGCGAGGAGGAAGTTAATTCTGCTATAGAATTTACTTTGTAACAAAGATGAGGTTAAATCTGTCATAAAATTTAGTTTATAATAGCTATGAGGTATACCAAGCACCGATATATGTTTAAGTATTTTTAAGATACCAATTTCATCAAAATAACTAAGTTAGAAACTGGTTTTGTTTTTTTCCAAGGTAACATTCGGATGGTTTCCATCTGTTCATTTTATCTTATTTTAAATAATGTAAAAAAGGAATGTACATTTTTTTTCAGAGTTCTCATACTTACCCATTCATGTTGACTATGTATTTAAAACATTTCGCTCTTAAACAAAAAAGTGGTCAAATTATACAGGAAGTAGGATCTATAAAAGTTATAATTTGGAAGAGAATTACTATAATAATAGCACTGAAACGGCATTGGGAATCCCCATTCTTGTCAGTTCCCCATATAGACAGAACAATAGAGAGTTAATTAAGGGATAAGGCCCAAGAGCTAAATCCCACAACATCCATAGCCAAACTATACGCTCATCATTCACGACCAATATGACCAAGGAATACCAGTTCTGGATCATCAGAGTCCCCAGTTACATGCAACAGTAATAAATCCAATCCGTTCAGCCCCATTAGCGTAAAGCTCATGTAACTGTATTATTATGAAAACATTGCCAAGCTTTAGAATAGCCAAATACAAAATTTTGGGCGAGCCTGATAAAGCAAAAGGCGCTACGCATCAAGCAGACACTGCTGGTTGGGCCTAAGTGCTGTGAACGGCTCGCCCAGGCCCACCCGTGGCTATGCCACTGTTGCCAAGTGTAAAGTTTATTTATATATGTTAAAGCAAAGCTGCATTCGTCTGTCTGCTGTGTCCACCGCAGGGAATGGAATCCAGTATTTTAACGTTGTAAATATGTAGAGTAACCGCAGTATCACCGGGGGATTCAAGTGCAAATAATAGCAAGTTATTACTAATTGCAATTACTACTGTGGAAGTTTAACAGCTCTTCTATTAGAGGTTATTATATATTATATATATATAAAAATTAGACGATTTAAAATTGTTTGTAGTTAAACACAAAGTTTTCTAGTGTTACAAGTCCGGAGACTTACCGCAGCACCACTGGGTGACCCAATATCAAATACGTTTAACTTCGTCTTGAAAGCAACAGTTTTTCTAAAAATCTTAGAAAGAATTTTTATTTTACTACCAGGAAAAAAAAAGAAGGATTATTTGAAGCTGTATTCAGCTTGTAACTACTTAACAAGGGGAACTCAATAAATAAAATTAAAAAAATGTACACTATACTAGTACTCTCATAGATAAAAGTATACCGTAGGTATACTTATTTCCTTGATCAGCAACTAATTGGATGAAAATTAACACCTAATTATAACTTTGGATACAAGAAACATTCAGAAAAAAACTAAAAACCAATTTGCCATTTTAGTTATATTTTTATAACTGTTAAAATCTTCTTGCACATCATTCTGTCAACTCTACAACTTACAAGGGATGCGAAACTGATAATTATTTGAACAGTGAGAACAGTATTTCCCTTCAATTTAAGCACTAAATTTCGAAGTCCTTTACTTAAACCTTGTTTTGTTTTGCAGTTCTCTACTAAGCCTTACTTTGTTTTCACCTCTCTACTGAAGCCTTGTTTTGTTTATCAGTTCTCTACATAACTTAAACATTGTTTTGTTTTGCAGGTGTTGTAATTCAAACATGGGTTCTCAATCGTTTTCGGCTGCACAAGATTCATAAGGTTGAGCAATTCATCATGGCGTATGGTGGTCTGCGCGGGGCTGTCGCCTTTGCTTTGGTTCTTGTTATCTCAGATAAAATAATCCCAACAAAAGCAATGATGGTAACAGCCGTGATTGCAGTAGTTTATTTCACCGTATTTATTCAGGTAAGTATTTTATAAGATAATAAACCCACTAATTAATCCTTTAAAATGTTTTATTTTTCTATTTTATTTATGCGCTTCAACAGAAGCCATTGTACAGAACAGATCAATTTTTACTTCATTTAGTCTACTTTGTTTGTTGTTAAGCGCAAAGCCACATAATGGGCTACATGTGCTCTGCCCATGCATTTATCGAAACCCAGTTTTTAATTTTGTTGTTTTAAATCCTCGGACTTACTGCTGAACCATGGTAGGGGGCGTATTGTTTGTTTACTCTTAAGTTTTTCTCACTTAAAATGGGTGAGCAACAAAATTAAGGCATTCATTCCTAAAGTGTTCTTATTTATGAAAATTATACTATATGTAATTTGTGATTAATGTTTGTTGTCAAAGATTGAAAATTTCCTGCTTTTTTGCTAAGGTTGCATAAATTACATCTCTCTACGTAAGTTTTTTTTTTTCGCAGCTCTGTACGTAAGCCTTGTTTTTTCAGTTGTTAAAATATTTCCTGCTTTTTTGCTAAGATTGCATAATTTACACCTCTCTACTTAAGCCTTTTGTTTTGCAGCTCTCTACGTAAGCCTTGTTTTTTCACTTGTTAAAATATTTCCTGCTTTTTTTTTTTGCTAAGGTTGTACACTTTTTCTCACTAAGAATATGTTTATACCTTCGTATAAAAGAATTTCTTAACAGAACTTTGGTTTTTATTTTGTAACATACAATATCCACCGGTAGGTTAGTGATGAGCTTACAAACTTACACTAAAATCCGGGGTTTGATTCTTTTCTACGGAGGACAGAGTGTCAATTATCTATATTGTAGCTTTGTGCCCAAACAAACTTAATAAAATCATAAAACTGTTTTAACCAATAAACTCACATTTTGCACTTTTGTTTAGGCCATGGATGATTTGTAAGAGTGACAGCTAAGAGCTGGCAGTGGGTGTTGATGACAAGTTTTATTTCTTCTAGGACAGCTTACTAGATTGCAAGCAGCTTTGTGTGAAATACAACAAGCTGTTGAGAGTTTCCAAACCAAATACCTTATGAATATTTAATATCTTACCAGCCTCAGATGTGATCAGCAGGACACAAATCGTTTATATTAACAATTAGAAAAAACAAAGAAGGGGTAAAAAATAAATACAATCCCAGCCTATAATAGTACAACTAAAGAAAAAAGGATGTAAATGTAGGGATGGCTAATATCAATCCAACGAAAACAATGCACACTGTATAGTAGAATGTTAACAGACAAACACAGGATAAATTACACTCAATTGTGATTGAATAGTTATATATATTGCTATATGTTAATTTTTGCCTGTGGTGATACAAGTACCATCCCTACTATCTTGTTTTTGAAGGACTGATATTAGCCATCTGTACATTTACTTACTTTTTCAAAAAGTTTTTTCTTTACTTGTTTTTTTTTAACTGCAGTGTTTCAATAGACATAGGAATGTTGTATTTATAACTGAGTTCTAAATACAATGAGGTTCCAACTGTAATATTTATTGTTCATCTATTATTGGCTGGTAATTCCTGTTTCACCCTGTACTTAGGCTTTTTTAAAGGAACACTAAAGTTCGATAAGAAAGCTAACTTCAAGGGGGGTAATGATGACATCGTTTACACTAGAATTATGATTTTTTAAATTACTGCTAGTTATTAATAATACTTATAAAAACAAATACTCCATTTGAAACTATGTAACCTCAGTGAAATTGGTTGACACCATTGTTTTGGTTTTTGAGTTATCATGTAAAAAAGAAGAAGATAAAGAAATTCAAAGTTTTTGTTATGATATTTACTGACATTTCCAGAACTTGCGACTCAGTCATTAAATAGATATTGTTATAAAAGGAAACACTGTGTAGTATTGTAAAGATCGGATGATCTATTGAGGTGATATTTAAAATCACATTTCGATGAACAATCAAGCCATCCCTACATAGGCGGTGCTGCCATCTACCTGATATTTACTCTATTAGTCTTCTGTATGAGGTGTTAAAATCAATATATATGTTTTCCTTGTTGAATTACTGAATTTTTTAACATTGGTTATTTTTATTAAGTGGTGATATTGTTTAATCGAGATTATTTTCTGTTTCTTAATGATTGAGGCAGAATTTTGGCATGAAATATTTGAATGTTTCTTTTCTTTATTAGGGCATGACAATAGGTCCTTTAGTAAAGATACTAAATGTTTCAACTAGTCAGAAAACCAAACTTTCCATGAACGAAAGGCTGCATACACGGGTATGTAAAAAATTATACTAAATTACAAACACTGCTAATAATGTACGTAAGTTTTAATGTAATTCTTACACTCCATTAGCTACAAAGTGTTTCAACAATTAGTCACCCTAATTTATTTGTAAATCTCGGGTTTTAAGTTATTATTTTTGTCTAATAATAGTGAAAAATTATAATGTGTTGCCCATTTTGTGCTTCTTTGTGTTTTTTTATCACTTTTCATCCCCTGCCAGGTGGCTCTGATGTATGAAGTTACCCAGTTTCATTTCAGAAAAGTAAACCTGGCCTCAATTAACAGTCTTAGTATGACTCTCAATATTAGCACCTTTATAGATAAAACAGACTAGATTAAAGTATGTTATGGGAACATCAGAAAGTTTAAAATAGTCCAGAAAATTTACATGTAGGGCTAATAGTAATATTAATAATTAAACACAGGACCGTAGTGTAGGGAATGTGGTTTCTGTGCTACTCGAGTTGTTGTAGGCTTACCTACAAATTGCCTAATAATTTTACTTTATGAACTATAGTACAGTACGAATAACAGTGGTTTATCGTCTGTTCTTATTAATTATTTTATATTCCTAACACAGATAATGGACTACCTGATGGCTGGAATTGAAGACATCTCTGGTCACCTGATGGGGAACTACCATCTTCGAGATAAGTAAGAAATCAATAAATGAAAAATATGTCTTGGTTAAATTTCTTATCTAGCTACGTACTAAGACATCAGCATAATTATTATTCAACACAAAACTGAAATAAAAACACTGTGTTAACAAGTGGTGACTGTGCTTCTTGTCCTGATACCTAACATTAACACGTTCGTTATGTTTATGTATATCTTAAGGTCTACATATTAGTATAATTATGGTGTGTGTAAGTTGTAAAGTTATGTTTATATATATCTTAAGGTCTACATATTAGTATAATTATGGTGTGTGTAAGTTGTGAAGTTATGTTTATATATATATATATCGTAAGGTCTACATACTATGTTTTGTTTGTGGAACCCTTACAGGTTTAAATACTACAACAACAAGTACATTCGACCTTTCCTGACTCGTGACCACCATGTTCGAGAACCGAAGATTTTTGAGACACATTCCAAGCTTAACCTGGCAGATGCTATGAATCTTGTTCAAAAAAATGGCAGTGCAATACCCGTGATGGGAAAAGACATGAATATCTCTCTTTCAACGTTCTTCCAAACTTACACACAGACTAATATTCCAAGGTATGAAGTTTAGTGCATCCAAATTTATTATGACAACAGTATGACATTTTTGTATTTTTAATTTTTATTAGTCGTTTGTCCCTTCATAATGCAATGTTAGTGTTAAGTCCAAGTGTTCTGTTATAAATGGCTTGCTTATCCAGTTCCTTGACACACTTTCTAAAGAAGTTTATTCCTTTTCATTATCAACATTATGAGTATTTAACAGAATATATTTAAAAAAATGTAAATTTATGAATTGTTTAATTTTTCTAACTAACTCCAAATCCAAACTGTATTCCCTTTAATGGTGGCCCTAGTGGCAAATGAGATCGTGGACTTGTGCAGACTTCTAAAGAGTTAAGGGAAGAAAACAGAGACAGGAACATGACAAAGAAAAGTTTGCTTTCTTATATAAAAAAACAAAAACATAAAATTTAAGGACAATAAGGGATCTGTTAGACCATCCAGGATGTCCCATCCACTAAACTAATGGGGCAATAAGGAATCTGTTAGACCATCCAGGATGTCCCATCCACTAAACTAATGGGGCAGTAAGGGAGTCCGTTAGACCATCCAGGATGTCCCATCCACTAAACTCATGGGGCAGTAAGGGATCTGTTAGACCATCCAGGATGTCCCATCCACTAAACTAATGGGGCAGTAGGGAATCCGTTAGACCATCCAGGATGTCCCATCCACTAAACTCATGGGGCAGTAAGGGATCTGTTAGACCATCCAGGATGTCCCATCCACTAAACTCATGGG